AAAAAAAAAAAAAAAAAAAAATTCAAAAGAATTAATTTTTTGTTGATGATAAGAAGTTTTAGCCACAGCACCGAACGAGGGTATTTATAATAAAAAAATTGTATAAATAATTAAAATAATATTAAAAAGGAAATGATTGTAAAGTAATGGAACCATGAAATCCGAGATGAATACTTTAATTTTTTATATTGAGTACATAAATAATTAATATATATATATATAACGTAATTATGTATATTTATATATATATTTATATAATAGATATAATATATATATTATATCTAAATATATAACTTATACGTACATAAATACAATATATATATCATCATCATCATTTTTTTACATTAAAGTATTAAACTGAAAACTGTTAAATTCAGGGGGGGCTTATACCTCCAAAAATATGTTGTGTGGTGATACATGAAATTTTTAATTTTAAAATTTGATAATCATTTAAAAATTTTATATTATCTATAAATCTATCTTATTACCCAAGAAAATAAATTTTTTTTAAATGAAAAAAAAACAAATTAAACTAAAAAAAAAAAATCCCTTGTTATTTAAAAAATCTAAATTATTTTTAAAGGAGAAAATTTAAAGTGTTTGAGATGGCGCCATTTCATTCATTGTTTCATCCTAAATTTTTTATATTTCTAGCGAAAATTACCATGCGATTTCCTTAAAAGTAAAAACTCATTGTTATTTATTTATTTTTTTTTTTGTTCTTTTGAAAAAAAAAAATGAAGAATGAAAATCATTTTTAATAAAAATTTTTTAAGCCCAAAAAATTATGGGCTGGGAAAAAAGTAATTAATTTGAAAACAATCAGAAAGTTAATATCATATTATAATTGGGAATAATAGTTTTTTTTATTTTCTTTAATTTTATTTGTTACGTGATGATGTACTTGGTAAAGCGGGTTTAATTGTTTAAAAGCTTTATTGTCTTGAAAAAGTTACTAGCACGACAAAAAAATAATGCATCTAATTTAAAAATCAAAAAAACAATTGCCTAATTATTTTATACTTTTTTTAAATAAACTGCGTAATTTAGAAAATAAAAAAAAAAAAAAAACGCGAAATGAAAAATTCTTAAAGATCATTTAAATGATCACATTTCCTCTTTAGTTATTTTGTATAATGTTAAACCGGAGTAAATAAAATAAATTACTTTCTAATAAATTTACCTGATAAAGAAATGAATTGATTTTCACTTATGTTTCGTTTATAGAATAAGAATGAATAACGATGATAAAGTAATTTTGGTCTTCCACGCGGGATTTACCGTCACTCAAAAGAGAAAAGCTCATGACCAACCTTTCGTATTTTGTAACGTTCTTTCTTATTTAGTCTCTTGGCGTTAAAATGCAATAAGCATGTAATTAAAATATGTTGCATTTTTTTTTTTAAAGTTTTTTATATTAATACTTAGATGGTATTGATTGAAATGATAATGTTTCTATTCTTTTATTTAAAAAGAATGGTAAGAATTGATAAGAAATGGCGTAACACCAAAGAATTTCTTTTAGACTTTACTATAATAATTTTATAATTTATAATCATTTTTTTTTATTTGAACCAATCAAATCTTGAATTTTTTGCCCAATTTTTTTTTTTTTTTTTTATTTTTGATTACGAGAATAAAAATTATTTTTATTGTTTTTAATTAGAATAATTGTTATTCGGATTTACGCCGATTCTCGGTTTTTTCAAAAATTTCACACTTTTTTTTTTTTTATAAAATACATTTTCTAGTAAGATCTAGTCGACAATAATTTAAATTCCGTCCTTATACAGATAAAAAAAAAAAAAAATGCAATATTTACATATTAAAAAATACAAATTACTTATTAAGGATATGTGCCGTAATTAATAATGTTGATGATCACGTGTGTTACAAACAATTTCTTGAAGATTCATTCCTAATAAGAGAAAAAGTGGCGGGAGTATGCCCGTTACGCCACTTCCTTTTACATAGTTATACAAGCGTTTTCATTGTCTATTTTTAAATATGACAAATAGAATATTCTATCAAAATACCATATTACGAAATGGCTTGACCCTTATGATTGATCTTTTTGTAATAGTGTTACGTTACTCTTCCAATAAATTTAAAATAAAAATTATTTTGCATTGTTGATGTAATGATCTTCATTAAACCTACAAACAAAGGTGATTGTTACAATGTTTCCAGAATTTTACTAATTAAAGTAAATATAATCCATTGTCCCATTATCCACAATTACCAAATTTTGATTTGTTTCTAATTTTAACTCAATAATGATTTAAAAGAAATGATTGTGGCAAAACCAAATCATTAATTTTTCACAATGTGGCTAAAAAAAAATACCATGACCCCTGTTGTATCACCCGATTGCTTTGCTTATTGCCGAGCCTCGTCCCCAACAAAAATGCATTGAATGATTATTGGATAAACTTAATATAACTGAATATGGCTGGAACGAATTTTGAGTTTTTTTTTGGCTGGTATTCATAATTAGTCATATAACAAAGAATGTGTATCATGAGATTACTAACTGCGCGCTCGTGTGTGGCATTCAATAAATATAAATAAATATTTATCCTATCGATGTAACGGATCGTCTCCGCATTGCATATGTATAGACAAAGGGTTATACTTTAATTAGATATTTCAATAACGACAAATTTTGCTACGGGAACGGTTATTAGGCTCTCCTTAAATGTTTGATCTTTCAAAATCATAAAGTTTAGTAAAAAAAAATTTTTTTTTTTAAAGCTAAAAATGTTCAAAGCATTTAAGTTTGGAATGAAATAAGTGGTTCGATGAAAAAAATGTGATTGTTTGATTCGAGAATATCATAATAATAATGGTCCCACCATGCATTATGCATATATACTCTCTTAAGGGAAGATATGTCGATCCACTTTACTTTTCATATTTTATAAAAAAATTTTTTAATTGTCGCCCATCTGTACGATGTTTTACAAGAAATTCAAAAGAAGAATATTTATTTTACATATACAGCATATTCGTTTGAAAAAAAAAAAATTCACTCAATCCAAATAATCCAAATAATTATGCAAACGAGGTTCATCATTAATCTACTTTAAAAAAAAAAAATAATAATAATAATAATTATCTAATCGCATATCAATATGTAAAGAAAAGGGAAAGATTTTAGGAAATGAAAATTTTAAAATTTACCAATATAATTTAATTTACCAATATTATAATTATCTTTTTAAAAGTAATTCTACTTTAAATAGAATGTAATCGTCATTTTGGCTGAAAAAAAAAAAAAAAAAAATTGGCGCGTTCATATTTTATTAGTTTGAATGAAAATATGTGTAAACCTTATTTATTTCAAAATGAAAAGATATTCTTACAAGTTAAACTTGATTTTTTTTAAAAATAAACTTTATCGGTTGCCTTAATTGTATATAATAAAAACATGCAAGGGAAATTAAATGCATAATATGGCGAAAATCATAAATTTAATTTACCTTAAAATAATAACTTAGTTTTTTCATACATATTTAACCTATTCTTAAATAGTTTAATTATCGGAGTATCAATAGCGGATTGAAATTTTAATTTAAATATATTTGTATTTATTATATGTTATTACCCAGACTTACATTAAACTTTTTTTCTGCGGTTAATAAACTCTTTCGGTTACTTCGGTATGTTCCGATGAAAAAAAAACGAGCCATGATATAATTTGATTATTGAGGATTATATTGTACAAATGTATGTATTATTTTATATATATTATTTATCATATTATTATGCACTTAGATAAAATAATCTCTTTTTTTTACAATGTATATTTAAATAGAAGGTAGAGAAGGGGACTGTGCTTATAATATCTAATCTATTTTCTTAATTTGTTACTGCGTGAGTTTAAATTTGGTAGACAAGCCTGTCATTTTTTACCACGATTATTATTTCTTGAATGCAGTGCGAGGGAAAAATTTTCGTATTGGTTAAAAAAAAAAAATCTTTTTTTTTTTTTTTTCTCATTATTATCATTATTATTATCTTATTATTGTAACC